ATCTTGCACAAAGATTCTTCACTTTGTGTGATGGTCCTACAGGTGCACTGCGCTTGAAGGACTGTCCCCAAGATCCCAATGTAAGCTGCTTTGCAGTCATCACTCCCTGAGCAAGTGAGATCCTGCTTGCTTAAGGTACTGATGCAAAACTCATCTTCATGGCACTTTCTAGTCACTTGCTGCCAGCATTTCCACTGAAATGTTCTATAGCGCCTCCTAGAAAGAATCAAGAAATGGAATTGGTCTGAATGATATCTCACGATAATATGTGGAGCTGCCTCACCTAAAGAAAGACTGACATAAAACAAAAAGCCCTCCAAATGCCGGTATATAGCCGAAAACAAACTTGGTATGTTCAAGCATCCCAAAAGAGACTGTAAAAGAAGAGAAATCTTGTGAATTATTTTCCTTTTGTGATGAAAGACAGAGGCTAAGTTTAGGATTTCCTGGATGAATCATCTTTCATTACTAATTTTATTTCCATGGGTGATGGTGAGCAGTATGAACTACTTGGTGGACTTATTCGCAATATTCTTGAAGCAGAATGTGCTTTTGTGGCTAACATTTGGTCACTGTCTCTTACCAAGTTATTTCATATAAGGCTCTTGACCTTTCCAGCGAATTTTCCTACAGGATGGGAAGTACTGTACTCTTTCTTAATATTTCTAAGAAGACTAATTAGAACTTATAAAATACTTTGAGCTTCTCTAGCAAGAGCTAATTGAAAAAAAAATATTAATTTATTTAATGACTGAGAATCCATTATAACCATATCTATTCATAACTTTTCTATGTATTTGATTCTTGCTGTTGTAGCTTGGAATAAAAGTCTAGATAATGAACAACAATTTGACTTTTAAAATGTTCACAGAAAGAAGATATTCTCAGTGGAACCAAGGATATTAATCTTCCTACTTAATATTGATCACCTAAAATTACTTCTTACCCTTTTGTGAATAGGTCAGCGTCAAACATGCATGAAAATCTTCTGAGTAAATGACATTTATCTTGAGCTTATTTGTCTACAATGTGATACTCTGCTTAAATCCATAACTATTATTAATAAGCTCATATTTTAAGTAACCTTAAAGGAATCAGCTTTTTAATGTAATGGCAAAAATTTATTAGTATCTATTAAAATTTATATTTAAAAAAATCCTACAAATTTTTTGAGCCAGCAGAATATGTTCCTTTAGTTCAATTAAAGGTTATCTAGAAATGTCATGTAAATATAAGGAATTTGTATTTGTACCTAGGTGTCATTTTTTTCATTTTTAAATATATATTTTGCTACATTTAAGTTGCAGGAGTTATCTACTCATGGAAGTTATTTCATTCAGAAAATTAGTCGTGATATTCTGCACAAATGCTGAATTAAAGGATATCTTAAAATTAAAAAATCATATAATTAGTACACATTACCTATATGAGTTAAATATGGCAAAAAATTGTACGATAGAAATTCTTTTCCAGGTTTAAATGTTTTGATGTACAGTGTTTCATTACCCTTCTTTTCTTGATATACTGCAGTTTTCTATTATTTTGTTCAAACAATTGTTTAAAAGTATTTTTTGAAATGGAATTATTTTGTTTTCATTTTTGCTATTGATTTCTGGTTACATTGAAAAATGCAAGAGAATGCAGTTGGTATCATTTCTGCACATGGAATGTATTACATTTGCCTTTGTGACCTAATATAACGTCAAATTTTGTATTACATGGCACTTAAAATAAGTGTGTACATAGTAGAGGTTTGCTTTTAAAAAATAAGTCGATTTTTTTAAGAAAATACTTTTTTTCACTACTTTCTTGAATCATACATATGAAACTATAGTGTACTATAATTTTCTGTAAGCTCATAAACATATATAATTGGCAAACAGGGAGCCTGGGTGACTCAGTCAGTTATGCGGTCCACTTTGGCTCAGGTAATGATCTCCTGTTTCTTGAGCTCAAGCCCTGCGTTGGGTTCTGTGCTCACAGTTGAGAGCCTGGAGCTGCTTTCAATTCTGTGTCTCCCTCTCTTTCTCTCCTCCTCCCCCACTCCACTCTGTGCCTCTCTCTCTCTCTCTCTAAAAAATAAACATTAAAAAAATTGTAATTGGCAAAACATAATCTCATCCCCCAGGATACATCTATTGGACAAAATGAGTTGAAAAATAGTCTTTATACTGCCTTCTTTGGCCTTTTCAAATAAATAAAGGAGTTTCAAAACCTAATATCTATTAAAGAATCTGGCACAGGGACAGAAACTTTATTTTAAAATCCAAATGCTCTCCTCTCCCCAAGTACAGGCTCTTCAACAACAACAACGACAACAACAACAACAACAACAACAACAACAAAAGGCAGATAAAAGACAACACTCTCACCGAAGGAGTAGTTTATCATGTGGAGTTTTTCATCTGAATTACATTAAGTTAACATAAATGCTAGAAATCTTCCTAAGGCAAAATTTGCTTGAGAAAATGACAGGATTTGTCTTTTCACCTTGACTACTCATATTGCATCATATTTCCACCACCTCTATAAAATATTCATTAAGGGACTATTTACACATGGTGAAAAGAAATCTAGACTACAACAGTTCTTCCTCTCTGCATTAATCCATGAAAGACAGACATTATATAAGAAAAGACACATATATGTACATTAAAAATCATAAAAATTGCAAGATATGCAATTGCATAATTACATGATATTCAAAGGTGGAGGGAAACGAGATGACGTCTTTTAAGTGCCTCTAGTTTTGCAGACCGTGCACCAAGCATTTTGGAGTGGTGGTTAAATACAGGAGTCCTTTTGGAGAAAAATTACCAACTCTGTACCAAGCAGTCTGAAAAGGCATGGATGCCCAGATGAGTTGAATTCAGGAATGTGTACATCAGAATCCGTCATGGGGCTCCTCAAGGATTGTAATAGCAGATCCCATCACTTGCCAGTAAAATACTTAATTTGATAGGGAAGCTAAGATATATTGTGTTCTGAAAATTAAATGCAAATAACTTTAAGATAATGAGGAAGTATACCTAGGATCTTGGCATTGGAATTAAGTAAAGCTGGATACCCATTCATGGAGACATCTGATATTTTTACAGGAATTGTTTAAAAATAAAGTTTTCCTGGCTATGAAGATATTATTAGTTTTCATTATTTGTATAGGTAGATGATTAACAGGTAGATGTAAATATTCTATTTGTGATATGATAAAAAGGATAATCAAACATTTTTACCATATTTCACTGATTATAGGAGATACCATTATCTTATTACAACTGAAATAACTTATTGGAAATTAAATCGTTGTTTTAATTTAATAAATATTTTCTTGTCTTTGAGCTTAAGACTCATTCCAAAGATTTTATAAATATTAAAATGTGTAAAAAATTACATCTTAGAATCAATGAACTACAATATTTCACTGACTGAGGACTTTTGAGATAGGAGTTTAAAAAATCTAAATTGCATTGTAAAAAATTTTTTTGTCATGAATTTTTTATTCACTCAAGAGATCGCCTTAATAAACTTCAAAATAACTGATAAACTTTTGTAAAACGAGATCCTCAAATAAGACTTTCTTAAAAACTTTGGCAATTTTTGGTGGTAAGTTGACACAAAAACGATGTCAATGTTCTGGCACTCTGCTTAGATATTTACTCCTCATGTTACAGAATGTGTGCTGCAGAAAAGCACCTGTCTTTTTCGACAAATATTTAGGAGATCTGGAGTTATTCTGAAAGTTGGAATGGCAGAGTAAAGGAGTGTAATTAAAAAGCTAAAGAAAGCAGTTTGCCGAGAATCAGTCCCTTCAGGAAATTGATAATAAATCTTGTAGCTCATTTGCCAATGGTTAAGGCAAGGTGACAAATGTGACAATCCTTACTCTGAGCTATCACACACTAGACTACTCTTCTACGTTAAATGTATATTTTGACCTTTAAATGATTTTGCTGTATGGAGTTTTATTTATTTAAATTAAATTAAATAAAACAGTCCTTGCTAGAAGGCACTGGGCAAATTGCTATGAAGAATTATTCCAAAAAGAAGCATAAGACGAATCCAAACATGATATGATTTAATGCCGGTTGTGAAATAAAGCTCCTTTAACATGGTAACAGCAGTGTTACAAATTATTTTGATTCATCAAATTTATTTAGTATTCTTCTTTCCTGGATTTTCTTACTCATCCAAAGAGGTCCAATTAACTGCAGATTTCTTACCGTATAAAAGATAAATTCACCTTGAATATACAAGGACATGTGTTAGTGAAGACTGTAGTGAGGAAAAGAAAAAATCCAGTGTTGAATTAGATTTATGGTTCCCGGGAGTAATTACCTGGAAAGACTCAGACTAGTCTCAACCAGCAGCAAGAGTGGAAGTTGTAATAAGCGAGCCAGATCATTCATACTTCTGCTCAAAATCCTCCAGAACCTGTCCATTTTACTGGGAGTCTAAATCAAGTCCTTAGTATCCCTCTGGGCCCTAGGAGACCTAGGCAGGGCTGCCCCACATCCAGTTAAATGCTTAACTGCAGCTCATCTTGCTGTCCCCCATACATGCTCTGCCCTCACTGCTTTTTGAACAGGCCCAGTGTTTCCCACAGCACTGGCTGGTCTGTTTGGTATCCCTGTTTTCAGATGTTTGCTGAGAGAGGCTCATTCCTCCACTCTCTTAAGTCTGGTAAAATGGTCCTTACTGGGACCACCCTGTTCACATTGCAACTCTTTCTGCCCATTCACAATCTCACTTATTCTGTTTTCCCTCTTGGGGTGCTCATCTCCAGAATACTCATTACCTTTTAATATAATATACATTTTTGTTATTTATTATCTCTCTTCCCCCACTGGAATATAAGCTCCGCGGGACAAGTATTTTTGTCTTTTGTACACTGATGCCTAGAGTAGAAGTAGATGCTTGATGATTATTTATTTGAATAAACAAATAAGTGACTAACATTACTCCCTTGGAAATCAAGGGTGTGAGGTTGGGAAGAGGAGAATGGGTACATTTCTGACCTCATGGTGTACATATGTGCTGGGGATGTCCAGACTAGGCTCAAGCTATCTTCTCCTTCCTGATCTCCAGCCTAGGAGAGAAAGACTAATTTTGAAGTTTGAAGAGTCACCTTGTCAAAACTCTCTGACATTTAGCAGGCTTTTGTAATCATAGCAAAAACCAAATTAAACTGACATGTAAGTCTGTTTATTTATTCATTAGTCTAACTTGAATGTCTAATTTTAATAATGCTATTTCATGGCCACCAAATCTTGACATACTGAATTTGCTTATTCTGAAAATATATTCTGCATGTGGATTTCAAAATGGAGGCTACGCATGTACCACAGATTCAAAAATATGAATTGTCTGGCTTTGTTTACATCATGTTGGATGACGGTGGGAACTGTAGCTAATGTAATGAGATCAAGTGTTAGGACTGGACTGTAACAAATAAGGTGCCGAAATAAGAAAGTAAGGTATGCGTGTTTTTACTCACCTGCATAATTCATCATTTCGGCAGCTGTGAATTACATTGAGGCAAGTAGGGGGTGGAACTATGTTCACGGCACATGGCTTGCTGTGAAGAGCTTCTTTGGACTGCTGACAAGGTATATCAGATGGAGCACAGTCACAAAAAGCCAACATCTGGGCAATGTTAAAAGGCATACTTTGATAGAAGAACCGTATGGCTGCTTGGCAGTGTTTCACATCACATAGATTTCCATTTGCTGAGCAAGCTTTAAGGTAAGGGGCCAACTGTGCGTTACAGACCACATCCCCTACGCACGCCTCTGCCACTTCCAAACAGGACTGGATCCCTTTGATTCCTGAAAGCAAGGATATGTCCAGGTCGTGGAAAAGTAAACATAAACCTGTACCTACAGAACCTGCAAAACACTAGAAGAAGTCTATGAGCAACACACAATGGTGTAACAATGTGCTACTTTGGGCACACAGTATGTGTGTGGTTTTGTTTTGTTTTGTTTTTAAGAGTTCGTATGAATTTACTGAGGCCTGAGTAGTGGGCTATTTGAATCATCCTTCATTTATAGTGGATACATATTATGATCCAGAAGTGATGGGAAGTGTGTAGAGCCAGAACAGAGTGGAAAAAAAAAAAAAATTCTTGAGTCCAAGTTTCTCAAATGTAAACAATAAATCTTCAGAAATTGCATGTGAGGTACATAGCTTATGGTGAGTTCATGGGCTCAAATCAAAATGATTTTTGTTTGTTCTGTTGTGCTTTTTATTTTGGGTGAAAATATTGACTAAAGGTTCTGACTGGATACATAGTTATTCTAGCAAAGAAAGATGTTCAAGTTCTGGAAAACACAGATACATGTGAGTGCCCCCTGCCACCAGACACATACACACAAAAACAGTTAGCCTCAAACAATTTATGTGATCAAAATACCAGTGAAATTTAACCCAGATCTAGTTTTTAGTTTTAATTGTAAAGTATTCCTCAGCATAACTGTAAATAGAGGATGGATGGGGAGGCAAGTTGCTTTGACACATGAGCGAAACAAACATAAATGTTGTTGCATTTTGCAATATTAGACTAGTAAAAAGCCGCACAATTGATTTTGTATTGGCATACCTTTAAGAAAGCTGGCAGCCATGCTTAAAATCATATTGTCTAGGGGCGCCTGGGTGGCACAGTCGGTTAAGCGTCCGACTTCAGCCAGGTCACGATCTCGCGTTCCGGGAGTTCGAGCCCCGCATCGGGCTCTGGGCTGATGGCTCAGAGCCTGGAGCCTGTTTCCGATTTTGTGTCTCCCTCTCTCTCTGCCCCTCCCCCGTTCATGCTCTGTCTCTCTCTGTCCCAAAAATAAATAAACGTTGAAAAAAAAATTAAAAAAAAATCATATTGTCTAGTATTTGCAATACAGATGGAAAGTACAATATGTAAACATTACCATTATAGGGAAGAGTGGTCAGATTCCACTTGGATTGATTATCCTCTTTCATGTTATCTAGAAGGAAAACAAAGAGACCATTTCATTAGTGAATGATTTTTTTTTTAATTTAATAGAAGTATGCAGGCTAGGTTTATAAATGAATAATCAAGCAAAAATAAGTACAAGCCAATGGAACACTTATTTAAGACTTGATACTCAAAATTAGTAGGTGTAGATGAAGAAAAATCAACCCCCAAAGTATCATTCAAGTGAGTTAAACAGCCCTCTCTGAGGATTCAGTTACTTGAAGATTTAAACAAATGCTAACGACCAGGCCATGTGCACTGAAGTAAACAAAGAATCTGGGGAAAAAGAACAGAAGGAATATTGTCTGAATCAAAAAAATTCTTCCCAGCAGGGTCTTAATTAAATTGAAATGCAATTTAAAAATGATTTCCACCTCTGATTATCTTAATCTCTTAGAGTTCCTAGGAATTAAAATCATAGAGTTAGAGAAGTGCATTGCTAGAAGTCAACTCAGTGGCCAGCTACTTCTAAACTATTTCAAGAAGCATTGGTTGAGTCCCTACTATGTACCAGGTACTATACTGAAGACACCAATGTGTAGTCCCTATCATGAAGCATTCACAGCTTGCTACGGAATACAGACATATAAAGAAAAATCCAAACAAAACATAAGGAGCACTAATATACATATGCATAAAGCGATAAGGGAATAGTATGGTCAGATTTGCATTTTAAAATAAAAGTTCAGAAGCACCTGGGTAGCTCATTCAGTTTGGTGACCAACTCTTGATTTCAGTTCAGGTCATGATCTCATGGTTTGTGGGTCTGAGCCCTGTGTGGGGTTCCACACTGTCAGTGCAGAGCCTGCTTGGGATTCTTTCTCTCTCCCTTTCTCTCTTCCCTTCCCCTGCTGTCCCTCTCTCTCAAAATAAATAAACTTAAAAAAAATAATGACTTCTGTTATTGTGTTGCAGTCTTTCCAGGCTCCTTGTATTGTTCCATCTGTTGTCATTATATGTGCTTTCTCCTTTTTATACCAATAAAATCTTAGCTCACGAATCACAGTGCTTCTAGATCCACCCTCTTGTATCACTGAGGAAGCCTGGAATGTTCCCTCTTCTGCTCTATTATTCCAGATTGAGCAAAATCCCAATAAGTAAACCTCAGAGAGTCATACAGCTTTTGCAACAGATATAAAAGTCTAGGCTAGACTTCCATCTCTGCTTTGGCACTGATTGGTATGGAGATGCCACTGATTACATACCACATATTCAAGAGTCTGTCATTGAAACATAAATAAATCCTGAATGTACTCACTTTTATGGACTGAACGTTTATGTTCCTCCAAAATGTATGTGTTGAAGCCCTAACCCCCTATGTGGCTTATTTGAATATGGGGTCTCTCAAAGTAACTCAGGTTAGCCAAGGTCATAAGAGTGGGGCCCATCTGATAGGATTATCATCCAAGTAAAAAGAGACACTAAGGAAATCTCATGTCAGGATACAGAAAGAAACCACGAAGTCCAGAAGCCAGGAAAAGAACTCTCACCCAAACCAGCCCTGCTGGACTGTGATCT